AAAATAAGGGGGGGGGGCTCCCCGGACCCCTACCCTAGATCTGCCACTGCATGTAAATATTTATATTGCTCATCAGTTTGTTAAAATGTTGCTCTCAGTCTGTGTTTCAAATAGATATGTTTCAGTACGTCGATGCTCCGATGGTAGTAACCAAACCATTTTCATTTAGCCGGTTAGCCGCAAAGAGAAATCATATGTCATAATAAAAGCTTTACCTATATTCCACTAAAAACTGGTACCTTTCAACAGTTCGAAGAGCTGCAAGAGGCTTAAGAATATCAGCAGTTCTTGAGGACGACTTCACAATCGATCAGCGAGCATACTGAAATTGAGAGCTATGTTCCGTTGTGGCACAAACGGCGGCATAAACGAGTAGTTCAAGAGAAAATAATAAAAGTACTTTCTCTTGGTAGACTGCAGTTCCATAATGATTTGGGATCTTTCCATTTTATGGTAAATCACTGATATCACATGAAGATTTAGCAAGAGTATTTCCGAAAAAAAAAGATGCCATGCGTTCGCTCACGTGTTTCATTCAACCAACATGAACGCGATGCCCGCGCCACAAGCCCACAATACAGGCAAACTTTCCCGCCATTTTTTCTCTTTTTATTTATTCAGAACTTTATAGACCTATACAGGTCTACGCGCTACATAATGAAAATACAGTAAGGAGCGCTGGATTTATAATTAATAACAAACGTTGAAATAATGAATAAAATCGGGAAATTGATCCTTGCGGCAGGGAATGACGTCAAAAAATTAAATAAATACAATTGCAATTTTTTTTTGAAGCTCACAGTTTTTTTGTTTTTTTTTTTCTATTTGCGTTTAGTCTTCATCTTCTCTCCCTGCCGTAGGGAACAGTTTCCAGTTTTATTTTACTTCAGTTTTGAGTCTGATCGACCTCAACATGCAACACGTACCTCTTTACTCTCGGGGTCTCCTTGGAGCCGGCATTTAGCGTTGTGTGACGACCCCGAAGAGTCTCCACTAGCCCCTCCCTTGAAAGAAGCCAACTGCGTCAGCCTCGATCTCAAACAGGTAATGGCGTGGGTATCCTTCCTCTCAAGTTTCGACACAGAGGACACAGAGTGTTTTAGCGACTTGAGACGACGTGAGCTTGAACATCCGGTCACAAACATGCTGTAAAGGTGAGTTCCTTAGTAATATAGTGTTATACTTAGACACTGTATCGGTAAACTGGGTTCAGTTTTTCCTGAAAACGTATTCAGGTGCAGTTTGAGAGAGCTATGTGTGTTGGTATTCACCCACTCGAACAATCAACAAGGAAAATCGATACCCAGAAAATCGGTCGTGGATAGTTTTAGTTGGTATGTAAAATGGTAATCTTAAGTGAATCAAGAATTCAAAGAAACTTATTCGAGCCGCTTTTTTCTCCTACTTGTTTGCGGTATCGACTGTCTCATAATTTATCTGTCAGGAAATGGTGTCCATAGCTATGCATGTACGTGACTACAACACTTGTGTGAGTTCATTCGGCTAACGTCATTGCAATCTTTTGTCCTTTTATGAGGCTTGCTGGTACAGTCTTAACTAAATTGAAAGAGTTTCTTTGACGTATCAGGAATCTGCAGATTCCACCTAGGTTTCGACACTATCTTGTCCATGTTAACCAAAATTCTGACTTTCATATTTGACCTTTCTTTAGATTTGTTGCTTGTTCGCATTTTTAAAATATGTAGGACTTCTCCACCATCTTTTCTCTCTCACTTCATTTCGAATAGAGCCGTAGTATTCTTAGTAAGATTACATTTGTAATTTAGTGCTCCAAATAGGTCAGATATTTTAATGTCAGCAGTAACTTTGAATTTGTTTCAAAATAAGCATGTATCAAATTGTAACAATCGCTTCTGTATAGAGGAGAAACAACCGTATGTTTTGGAATGAAATCTGTCTTACATTTTCGGAGGGGAAATATGTCCATGCTTTTCACCACCTTGTAACAAATTGAATCTCAGATCAGTGCAAAGTGCATTTTATTAATTTTTTGCTGTAATTTATTTATTTATTTATTATGATCCATACTTTTGATTGGAGGGTCAGGTGCTTTGCATGTGGCTCTGGAAACATGTTACTGACTTTACATTACGTTTTTTCTTAATTTGATGTTTACATTACTTGATGTAAAGACTTCAGTGAGAATTTGAAAGCACTTCAAAGTCATGTTTATGTTTGTTTTCAATGAAAAATTTTAATAAAGTTTTTGACTGAATTTTCTACTACTGCTCAGTGAGAGTAGATTTTTTTGATAACAGTGAGAGAACAGACCTTATATGATTTATTTTCATTAGTCTCAGAGTGCATCTTGTTTCCAGTTTACCAGATATGGCAGGTTTGAAACTTCTGCTCTCCAGTCTTGGAATAATTTACTTTGCGCTTTGCAAAATCAGCATAAACAAATTAAATCAATGTTATCAACCACTGATTCACTAAATTTGTAAACAGGTTCAATCATATTAAGGAAGGTCACAATAGTTTATAGGGGAAATTTGCTGTGTAGGTGTGAAATAAAGATAGTACATACAGTATTCATTCAAGAGGTGGCATTGTATACCATTTAGTTTTGTGGCACAAAGTAATATCTTTTCAGCATCTTGTGCCATAGCTTGGGGCTAAAGGATTTTGCAGTTTGTCCGATGGACTCTATCCTTTGTTTTCCTGATGGGGAATTTAAGTTTTTCAGGAAAATATTTTCGTAATTTTAAACTACAGAAGTACCATAAGAGATGAAATTATTGTGTCAGTTATATTGTAATTTAGTTCATGATGATTGTAAAACATTGGAGGGGGTCTGTGAGAATGACAACTGGTCTAAGCAAGCTCAAAGATGGGTTTGCTTTGCACCCTGTTTTTATCAGTGACTTCTGATT